TGAAGTGAAGTCGAACAATTAGATATCTTGTCATGTTGACAATCAATTTGTCAGCAACAATCTGTGGGTTCTAATAATATAAAGTTTGATTTATTTATCAATTTAATTTTAATTGAAATTGCTGTGAATGTCTAAACGTGGACGCATGAATTAATCATTCCGATTTTAGAACTCTCGCAACGAGACGATTGGCTCTGTGGCCCCCAAACAGGAAAATTGACAAGCTACGATGTTAGCTGAGCGTACAATGGGACCAAGTTCTGAAAATAACTTTTCTAAATAGGATATTCTACAGGATGTATCACGGAGAGTGTGCGATGGAATTGCATAATTTGATTCCACCTCCCCCTTTCCATCATCGGGGGACTAGACGTGGGCTGGGTTTCCACCCCTATGTTCTGGATATTCCCAGGATTCGCACGAAGCGTTTTGCTTCCATATTTATAATGGCGAGCGGCTCGGGAGTGGAATTCCCTACCGGATTTATTACCCGAACGCTATAACTTGGACCTTTTCAAGGCAAGAGTGAATAGGCATTATTTAGGTGTGCATGCTACATCGTCGACCTCATCGTCACTTTCCACCAGGTGAGATCGAGATCAAATGCGTACTTTTTTTTTTATAAAAAAAAATGCAAAAGATTGTGCAAGACTGCTTATTCTCAGAACATTGTACATTTCTTTTTATATATATTTATAACAAACTAGTGGAGTAATTTCACAAAAAAATAAAATAAAAATTTAAAAATACAGTGAATAGCGACATCTCTCGCCAGGACTGGTAGCTGTAAAGGTACTAACTGGGTGATAAATCTTACATAGATTTCTCATAGGTAACGCTACGACTAAAAACTAAAAAGTCGTTGAAAAACCAAATACAAAGACACGACGCAAGCACATAGAAAAATTCGTGAGGTCCGCTGGTTCGTTCCGTGGCTTAGTTGGTATAGCGTCTGGCACGGTAAGCTAGAAGACGTCGTCGGTTCGAATCCGGCCGGATCGAAGGAATTTTCTTCTGAGTGTTCGATTTTTGTATTAATAATTTATAACAAACTAGCGGAGTAATTTCATAAAAAAAAATTAATAGCAATTCAATAAAAATTGAAAAATTGTACATTTCGTTCGTTGACCGGTGTTCGATTTTACATATCCGAAACGAAATAAGATATAAAAAATATGAAAACACCTATAGATAGGCCTTATTTCGAATAACGAGATTATATATTTATCATATTTTCGCTGTATAATCGCATCATTCTCTGTTCTTCGGATGGGTCGAAAAATTAACATTTTATTAGGATAATTTATTGTCGTACTTTGTTTACAACAATGTCTCAAGGTGGCGGACGCAATGGCAGAGCCCCTCTAAGTGGCACTGCAACTGTAGGTGTTTCTCATACCACCCGGCACACAACTTATTCGTCATAAGAATGGATAATACACAAGAATAGATAACACCTCCCGCTGAAATTCGGTATTATATTCTTTGAAACTTTTTTGTATTTCCCTGCGAAAACTTTGCCTTTGTGCTTGTGGTCAGGACAAAGAAAAGTTGAAATTTGCGTACCATTACAAAAACGTACAAATTTTCCGGTTTTTCTTTATTTAAAGACAAAAAGTGAACATTATATTTCTTCTAAAATTCTTCAAATTGATGGATAAAGAACATAGAAATGTGTAGTTTTGCTAGATTATTTAAATACCGCTATGTAGCTATGTAAATACCACTGACAGCAACAAAGTAAAGTTTCAAGGCTATAACTACCCTTCTAAATACTTGGCGCTCAATTAAACAGAAACCAATACTGTCAAACCCAGTGATCTTATATACAAAAAAGGCAGAACTGATACTCGCGTCCGCGTAGTGAAGATTCGAATCTCAGTCAAATGACCGACCTTACAATCAATCTGCGTTGAGCAAAAAGACGAACCTTGATCAAACCAGAAACACAACGTTTTTAAAAATTTGTTACATACATTATTCGCATCCTTTTTTTGTATGTATGGTACGCATTTACTCAGGCATTTATGAACCGTTTTGGATGATTCTTTTTTTGTTGAAAAGAGGGTGCCGCAGTATTGGTCTCATTTAAATTTGAAGAAAATATCGAATTATTCCGGTTTGCCGCACTTGCCGGTAACCAATTACAATAAAACTTGACAAATAGATGTAATTCCACGTACTTTTTTGGTCGGTTTTTAGTACCTACTCTGTACTGAGATTATACGAAAAACATAGTAAATAATAATTAAAAAACTACAACCCTTATTTTAACGTCGAAGGGTTAAAACCGCTCTTAATTACGATAATACCCCACGTAATTAAAACAATGGCGGCTTGCGTTAGGTCCGCTCTACAATTAGACCTTGAATAATAGAAACCTAGGTACTGTGAAGCTATTATTCTATTTCTTTATGCTAATTTAGTGTTAGTAATATCTCAATTAGCTCAGAAGAGTTTTCGTGTGGTCTATTCGACAAGAGTTTGCGACATTCGAAATCGACCTGCATAGATGTTTCACCAGTGGGGCTAGCACGATAGGGCGCGACTTGCGCGAGAGCGACACTAGACTGCCATGCAGAGGCCCCGGATTCGATTCCCAGGCCGGGGAAATATTTATATGGCCTACATTTGTTTCTGTCGTGAGTTTCGCTGTAATTCGTGGTTGTCTGCTTATGTGTATATCCATGGCACCCGCGATACAGGCTTTCCCTAATGCGGGCTATGAGTGTCTGCGTTACAAAAAAAAATCTCGCGTATCTATGTTGCTCTCACATAAGTCGCGCTTCAATGTCGCTCTCGTGCAAGTCGCGCCCTATCGTGCAATTCGTACAGTTTATACTTTGGATATTCGATGAGGAGGTACACTTCTATGACAGGGTTGATATTTAAGATATGCTGCTTACGTGGCTTAACTAACAGTGAAACTGCTTTCTGTTAGTATGCAATGATAAGTCACAGATTACTTAATAGTTAACTACATAACAGATACATCGCTCTCATACAAAATCCAAAGTTCCAATTCAGGCAAGGACCAGTTCAGATGCAGTCGCTGCGACTGCACGTGAACTGCACGCTAGTCTGATTTAGACACAAATTTGAATTTGAAATTGTTCGTGACTTTGTTGCTGACATTCTATACGCTATCGCCTGTGCTGTATCGCCATCGCCTTTGCCTTGTACGGTTGAGCAATCAATTTATTTCTTTGTCTGGCCGTCTTTTGTTTTAGAACCAGGTGCTGGTAACTTTTTTTATAGAATTATTTTTGTCGTGATTTTGAAAGAATAGGGATATTGTGAGTGAAAGAGAATTATAATAAGTATTTTAACCGACTTTAAAAAAAGGGCGGTTCTCAGTTCGACTTTATTGTTTTTTGTTGGAAAAAGGATACCTGTTGGTACCATTTAAACCGATTTTTGTAACACTTGGCAAATAGATGTAATGCCATGAAATTTTGAGGACTGCTTTTTTTCTGGCAACTTATGATCCGTATAATATTATATGTCTTAACATAACATCAAAACATCTCAATCTAAGACACATATATGAGTGATTGGAATTGAGGGACTTTATTTACTTAAACTATGAACGTTTTTTTAAGATAGACGTGCCCATTTGGTCATCAATGCGTATAACGTTTATTTTTTTACAGTTTAAGTAAGTTGTCCCATTATCACTTATAAATTAACAACCTCGGAATTGTGAGTTAATTTAGGGAAACTAAAGAATAATATGAATATTCTCTTCTTAAAATTCCGGGAATTCTCCGAATTGATTATATTCCAATATAAGTACGTAATATTTCATATTAAGTATTTGCTAGAAATTATTGTCACAAAAAATAATATTGTATTATAGGTGTGTTTCTATATGCACTAGAACTTGCGCATTTAAATACTTTATTCATTTAAAAAATAAACATGAGACAACCTATATTTTGGAATGTTTAGAAAATAAACAGTAAAAAAGTTTTACATATTGATGACGAAATGGGTATATCCATACTAAGAAAACGTGCATACTTTAGGTTAATTAACTTCCTCAATACCCATCACTAATTTTTAAGTAGTTAAATTAGTACCGGAAAAATAATAATTATTATTATTATTTATTTCATTTTTTTTAAATTACAGTTTTCCGAGATAAAGTACATAATCCCACAAAACTGAGTATTCAGTTTGACTGTGGGATACATATAATAATACATATATTTTTCCTAACATGTATTTTAACAATAATCTACTCAACAAACCCTGAAACAAAATATGTTTTTAATTTACTTTCCTTAGGTTCAACTCTAATAACCTCAGGTGAACTGTTTAGTAAGTATGGAATACGTTTCTTTAAAGTTCTATCTCCATAGTAATTATTGACTTTTATTACTCCAAAGTTATTTACAGCTACCAGATATTTGTGTTTTAGCTAACAGGTAGTATTTTACAAGTTTAAAAAAAATAATTGTAGTCTCCATAACATTTTTCTTTAGTTTTATTGTTTACAAGATAATATACCGTATAAAAACCTGTATAATACCGGATAATTGATACCGATACCATAAAGTCTGTGAAATCATTTCTTAAAAACACTGGTCTAATTTATATCGGCATTATCTCAAGTACCGGTACTGTAGCAAGTTTAGTGGTACCGGTTTCTGAAAATTCCGATATTCGATTCGAGTCCGGGCAATTGGCGTGAATATAGATATATTCACGCTATTCGGTAACCCAGCACAAGGTCGAAATTTTTTTGCCCGAAATAACGTTCGTTCAAATTTTCAACACACCGAAAACCGAATTATAAGGAAACAGTTCTTTCAGGATATGTTGAATGTTTATCGCAAAGACACGATTAGTTAAGTTAGGTTTAAAATTAATCAAAGTTACTTTCGAGGTTATGAAATTTCGACCAAACTTTATTTCTGGAAACTGTCATTTTGGACTACAGATAGGTAACCATATCTTTCAAGTAATATTAATTTCAAAATGTCTGTTTATTCCAGGCGGGTGCACGTTCCCAGTGGACTGGTCTGGCAGCTGGTTCCAGTCAGGTTACCCTGGCCTGATCAGCATCAACTCCACTCACATACACTCCAAGGGCGAGTGTGCAGAGACGGAGTCTTATGACAAGTTTCTCTTGTATGACAGGTGAGTATATCCAACCAAGCATATTTTTAACCGACTTCGAAAAGAAGGAGGAGGTTTTCTTTTCGTCTGTATTTTTTGTGAATTGATTTCGATTATTCTTTTTTATTGGAAAGGGAGTACCTCAGTCTCATTCAAAATCTTTCTTTCTTCTAATCCCACAACCTTTTCAGGTCTGTCGATTTTATAAAACAAGTTATAGGTGATTGTTATTTTTAAGCTCTTTTTTATTGAATATCATAATGTTTGTTATATTTATTTATACAAAGATGGAACACTTGGAAAAAAAAACTTCGATCAGAAGGTCTACTCTCAAAATATATAACATAGAGAAATGACTTTTCTTGGTGGTGGTAGGTCAATAAACTTAGAATATTTTTGAACACCCTCCGTGTTACATCCTCAAAAAGATTATACAAAATTCTCGCAGCGAGCCGGTAATCGCTTACAACTTTGCCATCAGTAAGCGATACCAAGAAACTGCGATTCCTTTGACGTCGTCTCTCTACTTCATCTTCACGTATTTTTTGTCCGAGCGCCTCCAAAACTAACAGTATTCACGATTTTTACGCAAACGATGTAGAAACGGTACCGCTCGAGCTACCGTTGGTTTTATATCAGTTCTAAGATGAAAATAATGTCAAAATACGACACGGAAGCTCTCATTTGGCGTTTCGGAGTAAGGTATCCGCAACTAATTGTGTCAAGTCACGATCTTCGAGTCGTCGTTACTTCCGGGTCCGATACGAAGCTAAAACGATGATCGTTGCTTCATATTTCGTATGACGTGTTGAGGTTATGATGTCCGATACACGTTCCAATCAAAATCCTGTCAAAATGGCTTTTCGTAGTAGCTTTATAAACGTCCGATGTCGGCCACCCAAATGAATTACGCGTTTCATTCCGCAATCGTTCCACAATCGGGCACATAACGCGTTTCATAGTAAGAAATTATAAAACCGAACTACGTGTATCGGATTTTACTTCTGGGAGTAGACGCCCTGACTAGATTCGAACCAACGTCTTCCAACAAGCCGTGGCAGACGCTATGCCAACTAAGTCGCGGAACGAACTAGCGGACCTTGCGGATTTGTCACAGATGTCGCTACGGCAAAAAAGTTAGTTAAAGACACACAAAGAAAAATTCCTGTGATCCGGCTGGATTCGAACCAGCAATTTTTTCACCAAACCGAGGCTATAGCTCTCTCAGCTGAGCCACGGAAGGAGTCAGTTACCAATTTCTCCATGTGCTTGTTGCAGATCTTTATTTTTGGTTTTAGGGCTTATTTACCGTAGCATTTTTTTTCTTATTACGTTTTCTTTCGAACTTGGTACTTTAGCACTAGTGGTGCAACGGAAGTGTCATAAGTTCATATCGGAAACAGAAACAGAAACAGATATTAAAAGTAAATCTTAGCGGAAACGGAAGCGAATGCGGAAGCGAAAATACTATAGATTTCAAGGAATGTTCCAGAGAGGACTTATTTCTGGTTTTATAATTTCACTTTTACATAAATCAAAATTGCTAAAAACGTTTGTCCCACTGTCGAGTAATCCGCATGCGCGCTTCATCCGTTGCGAACGTTGTAAACTTCCGATTAAAGTTCCTTTATTAAAACTGCGGAAGCAGAAACGGAAACAGATGTGAAAAGCGTGTGGAACTTCGGCAGTTGCGGAAGCAGAAGCAGAGGTCTGTTGCATCAACTTTAAATCAATTTAATACACACAATTTAGATAAGAGCCAAAAAACAGAACGCGCGTCTTTTGGAAAATACACATGCTGAATAATACTTGAATACTTGCTGTAATACTTTAATAAAGGTCAAATTAACACTAGGTTATAACATGTGCAGAGATAGTGCAGGGTATATAATATCTAAGGGTAAAAGACCATAGAGCCCATAAGGCTATTGTCAGACCGTACACATGCAGTCGCTAGAATTACTGCAGCTACCGTCTCGTACATGTATGTATGCATTTAACAGTAACTCTTCTTTGTTTACTTACAGGAGTGATGACTGCTACCGATGTATGGTGATTCACGAAAAGCACAAATATGTTCTACAGTATAAAGAAAGTGAGTAAAGTTATTATCACATAATCTATCTAGGTATTGACATAATTGTGTTTTCCTGAAACTACTATTTAGGACTATTCGCGTTCTTGTAAAAGATGCCTATTATAGTCAAAACCAGATTCACGGAGTAAGTAAATATTATTCAATAAATAACTATAAATTAACTACAAAACAACATCCGCAAACTGTAAAACATAATAACATAATATATTTTTACGGAGGTTAACAGTTTAGAATCAATGCCTATTATCACTATGCGATATCACGAAAAATTCTATTAAATTGTGTACAGAAATATTATTTGGCAATAACAGAATTAAAATGACTGAAATACATACATTCAGAAGGGCATGTCCATATTATTTCTTCGTGTTTGATAAAAACCATTTTGCGAATATTCGATCACTGCTTATAAGTTACATAGTATATATATGTACCTATATACTGTCTAACTCATGAACCTTATCTGTTTCAGCGTACTGTTACCCAAAAGACTCGTTAGCGTCAATCTGCGAGTCGATCAGCGGTGACGCACCGCTCTATTCCATGTTCAGGAAGGAACCGAAGCCTGTGCCAGTGCAGTGTCCTTTCCATCCTGCGCCATTTACATTTACGTATAGTCGGTAAGTCGAAAATTTTTCTGTCGTCCTTCTTGAGTACCTACTTTAAACATTTTTACTTAGTATCTTTAAAAAATGCGTAGTTTTAATAAATAGGCCTCGAAATTTGCGCGGTTTTTGTTTTTGTATGAAAAGTATGCTCTGTTTTAGTTACTTAAAATTCCCAAACGTCTCGTTAAGAGATTAAAATTGTTGAGCGAAATTTGTTTGTTTGTTGTAAGTTTGTTAGGAGAACTATTGATTACAATGTTATATGTAAAATTTAAAATTTTCAGGCCCTACAAATGAAGTAGTAGGGTACTGCAAAATAATAAACATTCATATTATCATAAAATTTAAAATTTGTTTAGAACAAAAATATGATATGAAATTCTGTTATTGTATTCTTTTTATGTTATTATTACTTAATTTATTACTGTCGTTTATTTATTATTAAATAAAGCATGCCATTTTATTCTAAAAATTCTTGCAAGGAATAGAAGCTTTTTAACCGACTTAAAAAAAGGAGGTTCTCAGTTCGACTGTTTTTTTTTGTATGCATATTACGCGATAACTGATTTGCATTTGTGGACCGATTTTGATGATTTTTTTATTGTTGGAAAGAGGGTACCTCAGTATTGGTCCCATTTAAATTTGTAGAAAATATTCCTAAACTTAAGGTTGAATCCGATCTTGCGCACTTTCCGGTGTATTTCAATATAACTTGGCAAATAGATGTAATTCCACGAATTTTTGAGTTCGGTTTTCCTAATCTTTTTTTTATAAAAAAATTATTAATAAGAAATAATATTTCAATATTTAATATCATAGTTTTGTAACAAAAGTTAATAAAGGGAATTGTTAAATTTTCAGGGGCTCAGGCGACTGTGCAAATCCACCGTCTCGTGCAGAATCTTGCACTGACGATTCTCGACTGCTGCTGAGGTACATGGCCTGCCCAGATGTACCAGGCACGGAGAGCAATGGTAAAATCTGTACCCTATCATACCTTCATATTATATCTTCACTTGGGTAACCTGTCACACGAACCTATCACAAACTCGAATTTTTTTTGCCGAAATAACGTTTGTTCGAATTTTAATTACACCGAAAACCGAATTATAACGAAACCGTTGTTCTTTCAGGATATGTTGGATGTTTATATGGAGGATATTTGCGATAAACGCAAAGCCACGATTAGGTTCGGTTAGCTTACCTTAAGTTAGGTTTAAAAGAAAACTCTTCACTTGCTTAAGTGAAAAGATATCTGGAAGAAATAGCTACTTAATAACGATAACTTTGCAAAATAATATTAAGGCGAGGTATTTTAACACGAGCTTAGATTTTAAGAGACGACGCCTCTCGCGTTTCGCAATCCGCGCGCTCAAAATTAATATGATTAAAAAATTCGAACAGGCGAAGAAAACTTCACATCGACAAGCGCCCATTGGCGACTGACGGGCCAGCTAACGGCGCGGCGTGTCGTTAAACCGCTGTGCAATTTGCAAATTTTGGGCTAAATGTGCATTTAATAACTAATAGGGCTTTAATTGAAAACCAAAATTTTGCAGGTTCTCTGGTAATAAAGAGAAATATCTGCATATAAAAATTATGTACAAAGCTAGATAGTTTATTCTTAAATATTTTTTTTTTATTTTAGCCTGTTTTAGGATTTTATATGATGAGATAAAATACATCTTATCATGTAACACATTAGCTCATTCTATAGTCAAGATCCTTAGGTGTATAGTATATTTTTAGGGCGTTATTTAACAGTAAATACTTAAACCATTCGATCTGGCAAAACAGTTTTTGCGCTTGCGCTCGTCCGGTGACTCGCGTTAATTCGGTCTCATTTAATTTTTCTTATGTCTCATATAAAGTAAATTTTACTAAATGGATACATGGAGGTCCAATAGTCTTTATTATATTTTATATAATGTGGTCTTTATTTCTTTAATGTTCATTAAAGAATTGTGATTTTTCTTACATTCATGCCCTTTTAAACCGTGCATGCAGTGCCGGATTAAGTAATTCGCGCAATGAATGAATGAGTGATGAATTTTACTTATCTGTCTAAAATACAGCTTAAAAAATCATTACCACGTCTACCATTACCACTACTATGTATACCACCTTATACATAGTAAGACAGTCTTCTTAGTTTTGGCACGCAAATCTTTCTCTACGTTTTAGAAAGTAGAATTTTTATTAAAATTTTTCATACATTCGTGCCCGTGTAAGCCATTTAACAACAAAGAAATGAACGAATGATGAATGATATTTATGTATACACAATACAGGTTAAAAAAGATATTATACATGGTAAGACAGTCTTCTTATGTTTTGGTATGCAACACGGAAATATGCAAGCATATAATTCTCTGCATTTTTGAAAAGTAATTATTTTGAAGCCATGGTTTTAAGAGAGTTATTAATTGTACATGTTGTAATAGTAACTTTTTTTTAAATCAGATGGATACTCTTACTTAAGATTATAGTACAAGTAATTCATGAATTGTAATATGAGAAGTATGTTGTGCTGTACTAGATATAAACACAGTATGTAATTTAAGAAAATAAGTGCACACGAGTTATTTAAGTAAATCGCGGCAACTATGAATTGGAATTTCAGTAAAAGCTATCGTGTAGCAAGCACATAAGACACTTTCCAATTTAATTTCTAGCTGAGGCCAAGAATCAAAGAATATTATTTATAATTTGTAGGTACAAAGAATATTATATATGTTTAGTACATTGATTTGTAGAAACTTATTTGTGAAAAAGTCTTTGCCAGAGTAAAATTTGTTATCCCTTAGCCATGACTCATTTAAGTAGAGGGTTATTGTCAGAAGAGTCTGTTAAATAGATTAAGCAGAGAGATATGTAACTACAGATGATGTTATTTACAACTAATGAATAAAATGAATGAATGAATGAAATGTAGAAGTTCTTTTGTTATTTATTATTATTAATAACTTTTATATTATAAATGGCGTCTTATTACCGGGGTTCCTCTAAAATGAACTAGCAATTAATGGTAAGAAATCACGCCATCAACACCTCTGACCGGTGATTCGAACTACAGTTCTAAAGTCACATGACACCTGAACATTTTACTTGTAACATTTTCAGTGGAAGAACTCGTCTGCCTGGCGACCTGGAAGGAAGGGTCGACGAGGTACCTCGTGGGGCAGATCTCCCAGGTGCAGAGACGAAATTCCATTGCCTCAGATGAGGATACTTATAGGTGAGAAAATATTGCTTACATTTACCATTGTCAGAATAGCTGAAACTTTGTCCATAGATTACTAGTTTCAACTTACTGGTGACTGAAGAGTCACTTTGTTATTAAGTTGAAACTAATCTACCCCCTTATTTAATCTTTTATCTTTCTTTTTAATGTAGCCCCTTCGGGCTCAGATTTTAAAAGAGATCCAGTGCCCCACAGCAACACTATAAAAATGTTGGCAAATAATAAGTAGAATCGGTTATTTCGACTGCAACATTTTCAAAAGTTTCAGACAGATAATTAATTAGTGGAAGCACTTGTTCAAAGGGCAACATTTTAAAAATATTGGTTGACATTTAATAGAATCAGTTACTTCAACTGCGACATTATCAAAAGTTTGAGACAGATCATTCGTAGAATCTAATCACTATAAAAATGTTGACAGGTAAAATTACCCGTCAACATTTTTATAGTGCTGTTTGTCTACAAATGTAGAAACAGTTGTATGTCGATATAACTGATTTTACAAATTATAATTATATAACTGATTCTAAAAATTTTGATAACGTTGCACTGCAATATTATCAAAATTTTGGTAGACAATTAATAGGAACAATGGTTTAAATGGCAACATTTAGCTGGAAAGACAGAATATCAATGCTACCGTTTTCTCTCCTTTGCCTTTTACCGTTGGACATCTTACGATGTGTACATTTGTTCGTCTGTCTCCTAGCGAAGTTTGTCCTCACATGAATTGTTTTTTTGTTACCTTACAGATGCTTCATCTACAAAGGCCAACACAGCGGCGAGAAAAGCATGACGTACAATATAGCGCAATCAGGAGACGCTACTTGTAATGGATTGTCCTCGCCGACCGACGGTAGTCGCACTATGAAACTTACCAACAGTACGTATATCTTCTAGCAAGCCAAGTATGATATGCAACTAAAGACACAATATAACATAGTACGGGGCTATGAATGTGTGTGTTGTTAAAAAAATTGCAGCAACTGACTCACGCAATCAAAAAACTCACACAACTGACAAACATAATATATATATGTGTGTGTGTGTGTGTATATATATACACATTCAAACATATATATTCAAAAGAAACAATTATCTTAAAACAGTTATGTGATATTAAACATTGATTAGAACAAATAGGCCTGGAATTCCACAAAACAAAAAAGAATTTATTTAAATTTAACAAACATGTCTCCTCTTCAAAATTTCAAGTGCCACTCTTTGCAGGATGTCTGTTGTATTTTAACTTAACGGATTCAAATATTTATTAAATATATTATATGTTAAATTACAGGCGATGACGAGCACAACCGCTGCCACTTCCCGAACTGGATCGTGGACCATCACAAGTGGTTCAGTTTGGACCACACGCACCAATATCACTTTACCACCAAAAACGCCACGCTCAAGGTATGTAGAACAATATACAGTGTGATTGTTTTAAATGGGACTGTATGGGGAAATCTAAAACCGTTTTTAATGTTTTATTTAAATCTGAAACCGCTATTATAGTTAAATAAATTTCTGAATCGATTTAAAAGTTGGCAGTAACGTAAATTCACTAATGGAAAAATAGCATAAGCGGGGTTACATCAAATATATTTATTGCTCCATTAGATACAGAAAAATATAACCCACATCCTCTCCAATTCTTGTAACTTTATCTACAATATTAGTCGAATCTATAAAGTCTAATGGAGGAATAAACGTTTTTGACGTAAGTCCACTTATGCCATTCTCCCATGATGGATGTGATATGATGAGGGACTAGGGCGGTCAAGACTGCAAATCCGCAACTGATCAATGTGATATGCCAGTTTAATAAACTTGACACTTTGACTTGTTTTGACTTGAACTTAACTAAGTTTAAGTCAAAATTGACTGTTTTTTTACATTTCCCAGATAATGAACACGGATGGCACGATCGAGGAGAAGCGATTGGTATGCCATTCCATCCTTGAGCAGAAGGACAAGAAGCATATTAAATTAGTAGCACACGTTACTAGAGGATGGTGAGTGTTGATTTGCTTGAATAATAAATAATACGAACGGACGATGGAAGCCCAGAGGAAGGATGGTTAGCGAATTGGCTCATCTGTGCGGTGTACGTGATTAAAAAAATACGTAAACTTTAAGACGTTTGGATTGGTTTACTAACAACTGCTTTCACAGTTTAATGTCATAGGGCGTTTTGATTTGGGGTAAAGCCGCCGATATTAAGGCGAAGTATTTCAACGCGAGTCTAGATTTCGGGAGGTTTGTTTCGCCCCTTGCGTCCCGCAATCCGCACGCTGTAAGTTAATATAAATAAAATAAGAACAGGTGGAGAAAATTGGACACGGACCCGTTGTCGACAAGTGCCCAATGGCGACTGACGGGGCAGCAGGCGGCGCGGCGTGTCGTTAACCCGCCGCATAACTTAAGTACATTAAAAATTGTCGTAATTGGGGACAGGCAGGTACATTATATTTATCTTAATTTTGCGACACAGTGGGTTGGATCAGCGATATTGCGGACATTGGATTTTTTTTTCACGATACCTCCTAAAAAAATTGCAATCGAGAGATTCTATTGTCCTAATTAAATATTGTCATATCATATTTTGCCATAAATGTAATAGTTTAGTAGGAAAAAAATAAAATGTGTACACATTTTTATGTTTGTCCTGAAAAAGTACATAGAAATCACATATGAGGTATTCACTCTAAGACGACGTTCTGTATAAATAAAAATGTTGTATCATGAACCATACGGTGCCCATTCCACAGCGAGTCTGGACACGTGTGCCTGAAGTTCTACCGGCGGGAGTCGGCCGTGCTGGAGCTGCAGCAGGGAGAGGGGCTGTGGGAGGCGCCGCAGGACGCCTGCGCGGACGCACAGCAGCCGCCGTACATCACTCTCATCAGTATGTGTAATTTGATAAGCATTCGCAAATAGGTTCCATAACTGATGTTTCAACGGGGTCCGTATCTATAAATTAATGGACCGACTGGAAAATCAAGAGGTTGGCGCTAGCTTACCTAAATGCTGAAACAATCTGCATCCTCCACTTAGACAGCCAATCTCAATATCTGCACGTATAAAAAATCTGTTGATAGAAAACCAGCGCATGCTCTGATGCCGGATGTTCCTATCTCTTGCCTTCTAATTTATTTATATTTATGTATATTTACTTGTAACTTTTATATACTAATGTATACATGTATCGCACGTGTGTCGTGAATGTGCAATGTGGCATAAAACAGAGGATACACACAGTACAAGTACTGGTAAACATCTCGAACAATGACCTACGTCCCGCTGACGTCCCGGATACAGCCGCGTGCATTAAACTGTATTTTTTATAATTAATATTTGTTGCAGCTACTTCACTAGCTCCAATGCGGTGCCCGATCTTCGGGCGCTACTCTGTGGTGAACTCCTTGGCTGACAGAAGACGCAGGAGGCAACAGATCACTATAGGTATTGTTATACTTATAATTATAAGCTTCATTCGAACTCCCTTAGTCGTAATGGGCGGAAAGTATGTCGGCTGCGTGCCGATGGGGGTCCGCAGTCTTTGCCTACCCCGGTTGTAGACATTTATGAATGTTTAGTAACAGTACCTCTCGCTAACTGTGTTTGTGGTAACGACGATACACGAACCCGAGACTATATAGAAAAGTCAGTTTTACATTGGCCAGGGTTCGAACCCGGGACTTCGCGACATCTTCAAAACCGTTGTGGATACCACTCGACCACGGAGGTCGTCAAACAGACGTCCTAAAAAAGGCCAGATTAGTTTAGCATTAATGCATAACACTTGTGTCAGGATCATAGCAAGTGGAAGACTGTGGTCTCAGCCTACTCCAATGGGAAAAGGGCGCGAATTGCAAGTATCTATGTAAATAATAATACGGGCCCTAAAATTGCTGAGATCTTAGTACCTGGTAGTATCCATGTTGACCCGCGATTTCCTTGTGCCCCCAGGAGAGGGTGAGTCGTCGGAGGCCGCGGCGGCGGCCGAATGCGTATCCGGCGACTTCGACTCGGTGAGCGTGGGCTGCGGCGCCTCGCAGGATACCATCGAGTTCAAATCCTCTTGCACCAGCACAGGTGAGTTCAATGGTTTCACTGCTATACTTTATCGGGGCACCAAGTCTGCTATAGCCCATTTCAATTCATTATACAGAAAAAGATAAACAAACAAATGCACTTTCAAGTAAATGCACTTTTCAATAAACACTCCTCACTCACTCCCCACTCATTCACTCACTCACTCACTCACTCACTCACACATTCACCCACTCTCTCACTCACCCACTCACTCACCCACTCCCTCACTCACGCAATCAATCACTCACTCACTCACTCACTCACTCACTCACTCACTCACTCACTCACGCACGCACGCACGCACGCACTCACTCGCCCTATAAATTTATCGTAATTGTCAGTTTTTGTTTGTGTCAGTAGTTATAATTTTTTTTTTAAATGATAAACAGAATTATATTTCTATACAGTGCAATGAACTTAACATTATCAGCAGTTTCAAATTTGAATGATTTTTGCGTCATTTTGATATATCCATAGTCAATACCGCAGTAATCACTGAACTCGAATGGCAATTCTCGCACTCAAAACGGTTCGAAACGATTTGTACGATAATCGTATGAACTTGAAAAAATGTCATACGAGATCGTGTTTAGACAAGTCGAAAACTCGTAAGCAAGAATCTCCTTACTACATATTTCTCTGTGTAAACAGTCGAGGAGGCGATTAAGTTGCTTGCGAATCTCGTATGACATAATCATAAGTGAAATTTTAGTTCTTGCCTGAATAAACATTACGATACGATAATCTTATGGCGATTATTGCTTACGATAATCGCGTACGAGTTTTCGTCATGAAGCGTGCGAGAAACTCTCTCCATCTAAATGGGCCTCTTTACACTATTATGACGCAAACACCCCATATAAACGCTTCAAAGCAACTGAATAAAATATGTTCGTCTGGCGCTCCAACCGAATTTCGGTCGAGCGCAACTCAAAAAACGCAACTCACAACTCATAAAATTACGGTCGTCTGGCCGTAAGGGTGAACCCTTATTTTAGCTCGTGAACACTATACAAAGGAAAAATAAATGATTATATTTATTTCATATTAAAGAGGAATTAACTGATATCCACGGCTTTACATAATTTAAAACTACTTCCAGGCTATGAATCAGTTTGACCTTTTTACAGCCGCGATCTGTAGTATTGAGGTTAGCGGTCCGTTTGAATTATTGGTCTACTACTTAACATAGACACTTGTGGTAATAACTTACCTTTTACCAACTAACTTCACGTATGACCATCGTTTCAGTGTACACGTGCTACGGCAGCTGGCTGGAAAACGGCGTGGGTTACCTCATTGCGGCGAATGCCGTGCGAGGTGCCTCGCACCAGGACCACCCGCAGACTTTCTGCTTCGTTTACACGCATCATTCTGTTAACGGTGAGTCCATGTTACATGTACAAGGTTTTTACAGGACAAAAACAAGATGGCTGCCGTATAAAGTCTCACATGCAATGCCTCCTCTTGCATTTTTTGTTTTGTTGCTTAGCGTGGTAACGTAATGGTTTTACCTATTGCCTTTGAAACAGAAAGTCGTGGGTTCTAATCGGGACTCGCACCTCTGAGTTTCTCGGTATTTATCTATGTGGCTCAACATAGGCCCGGGTATCCAACCTGGGTATCCTCGGCGTGGCAGTCCGGAATAGTAACCGTTCGCCCACGGAGGCAGTTAATTTGAAAATCACCACGAGCATTTCGATGAAGTATAACATCGTGATGAAAAAACTGCACGTTGAAGAAGATTCACAACCCTCGGCCTGAGAGGAGATAGAGGAGATCCGTGTCCAGCAGTGGGACGTATAGACGGGTGATGATAATGATGGTTGTGCCCGCAGAGACGCGCGGCGGCGGCGTGCTGTTGCTGTCTGCGGTGGACCGCGCCTGCGACCGCGCGGTCGCGCCCGGCGCCGAGGGGGACAAGGCGTACAACCTCACTATCAACGGTAAGTGTCTTCGACCTGACACGGCTTGAACCTATGTCCACGCTTTACCGTAGCATTGCTCTTCCAACTAAGCTACAGGTCGAGTTAGCAATTCTTCCATAGATATCAGTAGAGTTTAGAAGCAGTAGAGCTTCTTGTGAAAGAGTCCGTCCAGGGAAATACTGTCACCTTACCATTTCTACCGCCAATGTAGTGGTGCTGTGAAATTATAGTCACATGGGACTTGTCATCAGGGTGACGGGTGCAGTGGTAGGGTCCCGAAGATCTTTGCGATGTAAAGCTCTATGTGGCACTGCAACTGCTGTGAATAGGCGTGCCGCTTACCACCGGGGCCACAAACACCAAATACAAAGATACGACGCAAGCACATAGAAAAATTCGTGAGGTCCGCTGGTTCGTTCCGTGGCTTAGTTGATATAGCGTCTGCCACGGTAAGCTAGAAGACGTCAATTCGAGTCCGGAATCGAAGGTTTTTTTCTGAGTGTTCGATCTTTGTATTAATAATTATAGCAAAGATGTATGTTATTAATTTGTTGCTTTAATAATGTTACATACTATAAATGAAGTGTGGTGAAGATCATATCTAATTGCACAACTAGTTATGAAAGAACACAGCTTGCAAAAATAACGAAAATATGAACAAATATAAACTTAAAAACCATAAAAAAAAGGAATTCTGCGGAATTTTTTTCTGAGTGTTCGATCGTTGTATTAATAATTATAACAAACTACTGGAGTAATTACACATAAAAATAATTGAATATCAATTCCATAAAAATTTAAACACATCTTTTTTTATTACGCTAATATAATCTTGAGTTCTTGCATATACAAAAGCAAAACGACGAAAGTATAACGTCATAACTAATCCTTGTTGCTAAATAGCAATATCTTCCAGACAACCTAATGATATATATTTCCTATTTTCAGGCACATGTGAACAAAGCAGCAAATACAACAGCATCGCAACGCGACTAGCACCGGCTGCTGCATTGTTGACATCTCTACTTGTTGTACTCAGATGATGTGATGGGTCAGCGTAGGTTGGTCTTTAGTAACAGTTTTATAGGGTATTTGATGACAGGCTCATTTTGGTCCGTGTCCAGCGGTGGCACGGCGTTGATACAGACACCGGAGAACTCAAAATCTCTTTAGAGACCCGAGTTCGGCAATGGGCTGTATCATTTAGACATTTACGAGTAGGTTAGCGATGCCGGGAGTGGGATATAGAATCTTTAACTAATTTCAAATTTAACATATAGGGTTATTGTAAAACACAAACAACTTCGTAGAACTATGTTCATAACATCATAAACAAGAACTTTTGTTCCATTACTTTTTTACAAATATTTGCCATATATAAACTTTTAAGTTTTCGTTGTACCATCTGATTTTTTTTTACATCTATATTTGGTAGTACGGTACCATGGCTATCTTTTGTTACCGCACAGAGTTGCCACCGTTGAAGCGATCTATTTAAATATTGTTGTCATTTTTGTACGAAATTAAATCTGATGATTGTTGATACAAAGATCGAACACAGAAAAAATTCTTCGACCCGATGGGACTTGAACCCCCCATACCCACGCTGTACCATGGTACTGCTCTTACCAACTGAGCTACATGTCAAGTTATCGATTATTCTCCTACGTGTTTCTCTATCTTTGTTTAAATGGTTGACCATCAAACAATCATAACAAATCAAGTGGGGTTATGTGACAAAAAAATCGCAATAATACATTATATCTAATACAATTTATTATTATTATAAGTGATGAAATTGTTGTTTATGTTAGTAACATAGTCCTCAGACGTTCTTAGTATTTCACGAATAAAATAAACTAGAACTCTGTATACATAATACATAAAATTTATTTTTATTTAAACATTTTATAAGCCGAGCGAACACTTTCATTCTATAATGAACCGCGAGGTTATGCAATTGTGTGCGTCCATACACAGAGAGCAGCAGGTGCTCACACATACAAGCCACCCTGGTAAGTTTGTATGAAGTTACACTACTTGTCTTATCTGTATTTCGGATTAAAAGGCAGAGGTGTCAGCTCAATTACGGCTATAGGCCAATTAAGACTTTATATCCCACGGCCCGGTGTGTAGTAAACGAAGTTAAAAAGAAATTCCTTTAGAAATGGCTTTCTGTCATCAATTCTTCATAAAATTCTGTATACTAAACAATTGTTTCATACCAGTGGTCAACGAAAAAAAAATCAGATCACAATTTGTAATTTTTATTCGTTGTGTAATATGACAGCTTTCGTTTAGGAATAATTAAAAATGCCTAGATAAGTATTTATATAATTATTTCTTATGTCAATAATAAAATCATAATTTTATGAAGTTACAATTAAACCTTAATTTCAATGTTTCAAGGCGTTACCTCGAAAATAAATTGTAACAAGAGAGAATGACTTAAAAATACTAGTTTTAAAAATTAAGCTTTAGAAGGCTATGGAGTACATATTTACAGTTAAATGATTTATTAAAAAAGTTTTCTATTTTCGAGTTCTTAGGTTTTCGCGATTGTTACACAGAGGAAATGAAACTATTTTTCCGAATTTAAATCGCGTATATTTGTTTTTCAAACAAACCAATGTTTCGGGCTCTTTGCAGGTCTCATGTTCACGGTTGACAGAGGTGGTACAGCCATCAACCAGTTATGTCTAATATTAATGTAAACCACCCTATTTTGTTCACTATAGTTACAAAAGTTGTTAGTTAAATACCTTATTTTTAATTTTACAAAGAACCATTCCAATTTATGCTACATTATGTTTTAGAAATTATTTGTTTGAAAAAACAAATATACGCGATTTAAATCCGGAAAAAGTTTCATTTCCTAAGTTTTCTATTTCTACATTTATTTAAATATGAAAATATTCTTATACATACTTTCAAATTTCATTTATTCTGTATGTTCTGTTGTCTAATATTTACAAAAGAACCTGCAACCCAGGATAGCCTTTATAGCCAAAATAGCCACTGTGAACATTTCGAAATCATAATTTTTGGAAAAATCTGAATTAAAACATATTAAACTAACTTAGTAATGGTTATAAAATGTATTATGGTCAACATATAGAACCTTTATTTGTACATAAATTCATTTCTACTGTTAATGAAAGCGACTACTGGCCAATTGGAAAGGTTTATACAAGATTTAGGGTCGTATTCCAGAACTCTATTCAATGCCCAAGTTAGGACTTAAGCAGACTTGAGTATGATTCCAAGCACTAGAAATACGACCCTAATGGCAAGGGCTTGAGTATGATTTTCTGTGCTCTTTGCAATACTCAAGTCCTGATTTGAGTATTGAGTAGAGTTCTAGAATACGACCTTAAATCTAGTCGTGATAAAATAGTCATCAAACGGATACCTACACTTCGCCAACTTTATTTACTAATATTATGCTCCCTGAATTTTGTGAAAAAAAAGAAACAAAAAACAAAATTCGAAAAAAGAACAAGAAACAAATTTCATGAAAAAAAATAAAGAAACGAAACAAAAACAGAACAAGCCCAAAAATTAAGTTGGCGTAGTGTCCATTGGAGGTATCGATTTATTTTATTGAATATCGTGATGTCTTCGTGTTTTGATATCTGTGATTGAACAGTCACTCGCATCGCAAGAATGTGCGTATTGCTTCGCATCGCGCATTCCTGCGATGTTAATCTTCTTTGTGTTTTTTTCCCTATACTTTTTTTTATTAATAACAGCAGTGCAACACTCTCTTTACGTGTCGCTACCTAGTTTAAAAAATACGTTCAGTACGTTTGACGAACGTCGAAGGAGGTACTGCATCTGCTGCTGATGGCGTTAAGTCCTGTTGGATGGAATGTAGTAGTAGCCTCCGCAGCCTCCATTCATCTTACTTAGTAAGTTTAGTAGTTCAAAAGTTGAAAGTCCAGTTTTATAGGTATTTATTCAGGTTTAACAATAATATTATGATCTTTAAAATGTAAACGGTGTAAATATAACTAGTAAAAGGTTCAAAAAGATAAGAAGATATGTGTTCGCTACCGCGATCGGGCAGAGAGTGTCGACGGAACGAAACAAAATCGGAAAGCGAGGCAAAACAATGGAACAATTCAAAATTTGAATTTAAATACGAGTGTGAGTATAAAATAAGAAATTTAAATAAAAGCGTGGGATGACGATCAAGGAGGTCACACCGTCACAGTGACAGATTCGCAGTTTTGTATTTCGTCCCTAAGAAAAATTTCTTCTCTATTTTATAAATTCCGTCTACTCCCGTTCTCAGTCCGCCATACGTCCGTCACAATCAGTGTCAAATAAGTAATGCTCTACCAAATCAAAAGGTCATGTGAAGTATGAAGTTTCATTACTTATTTGACAGTAATTCTTTCGGACTCTCGGATTAACGAGACCGGTGATTGGAGTCCAATCGACTCGGATAACAATAAATTTGTAATTATTTGACTAAATAAATAAGGTGTTTATTGCGGTGAATTTCTCGAGGTATCGCCTGAATATTACAATTTACATAAACATTAATATTTAAGTAAATTGTGAACATTGAGACTTCATAAAATATGCAAGTGTCCATTGCAAATTGTGTATTATTTTTAGGTTAGGCGGGAACTAAACAATGTTATAAAGAAACGAATCAACGTGATCATTTGTACATAAAAAAAAATGGTATTACGGAGTAGAATGAAGAAAAATGCGATTTTTAAATAATGTTACTTGTGTAATTTTATTAAAAGATTTTTATTTTTTAAATCGTACCTAGGTAATATCCAATCAAATCTCTGCAACTTTATAAAAGAGCGGAAGCTTCTTTTCGCACTGCGGGAGTCCTAGAAAAATCTTGAGTTTAATTAACTTCGACATATTGCCGAATTTAAAAGAACAAGAAGTTCTAAGTCAATATTACACTAACGTTGGTGTAAGAGGTTTTGATCATTAGTCAAAACACTAGTATTGATGTCAAAAAGTCTGAGTTAATAGTCAATACTACACGAACATCGATATTAAAAGTCATTAATACACGATTGATGCTAAAAATTCTAAGGCAAAAAGTCATTACTACGCGAACATCGGTGTAAAAAGATCCCAAGTCAAAAATCATTAATACACGAATAGTGATGTCAAAAATCATTAATACACGAATGGGTCATCATTTAGGGTCCCAAATCTGTCAGCATTTATACAAAAAGTTTGCGATAGATTCTATCATCTTATGTACATTATGTATTAACAATATACATATTATTTATAGAAAAATGCTTTGAAGTATACATTTGTACCGTAACGCTAAATAAAAATAAGTTTAAATTAAATTAGATAGACATAAATGTAGAAGAAATATTATGCTCAGCATTTATTTTTATTATTTTTCTGAAAGACGTCCAAGCATTTACTAATATAATTTATCGAATAGTCTTTTTATAGAAATTAACGGATACAAATTGTGCAGCTGAATGAATCATAAACCCATTTACAATTTGCACAATGTTGCATTGAAAAAAAGATGTTACATTATAAAATGTAACATTTGAAAAAATTTACACTTAAAAAATGATATCAGTTTTATACAAATATTTATTGAACAATTTCCGATATTATTGTTATACTTCCATAGTTATCAGTTTCGCATCTGTTTGTTAAGAAAGTAAGCTTCTTAGAGCTGTCTAAGAAGCTTACTTTCTTAACAAACAGTTCTTGTGACATTACCATTGTTATAATTTTTTCCAAAACACCCCAATCACTGTATCTACATACATTTTTTAATTTTGTAACTATTCAGCAGATTTAGTATCCGTTAATTTTAATAGTTAGTCTGTATTGGTTCAATTTATGTATAACTTTTTTTTAATATTAAAATTGATGCTTTAAAGTAAACAGTGCTACCATTAAATCTTGACCAACAGTAGTTTAAAATTATTGCTCATACAAATTAGTTTGGAGTTTTATTTGTGATAATTGTTTTAGAATATAAAAATAAAGATAATGTAAATAATTATTAGAAAGCAAGTTCCTCGTAATTTTTTTCACGTTTTCTGTTTCCGGAAGGGTTTTTGAGCCATATGAATTGAGTCGAAGCTTGCCTATTATACATAATTGTTTTTAACGAAAGTAAATTATAACTATTAACAAAAAAAATGTAGCCCAAAAAGACTATTTGTAAATACTAGTTACTAACTTATATACAACCAATATTTTATAAGTGTAAACGCGTTTTTAAAATACAGGACGAAAGTATTAATTTAAAATAAAAATACCGAAGATAATAAATAGTTATAGATAATTTAAATAAAATTCACGACAGCTGTTTTTTTAAATAAGAATAAAAATAAATTTATTCGAATTTTAAAAAATTAAAAATACTGTGTTTTGACGGGCACGAGAGTTAAAAGGTATTCACGAATAGACGTTAAGGCAGCTTTGGTTATTTTTTAATTTATGTATTAAAATTTAAGAAAACACAATGTGAATAAAGCACTTTATGTAAAAAAAACTATAATACTCTATGGGAAAATGTAATTTATTCGCTTGTACATAAAATTCTGTTTTGGCATCTCGATGTTTCTTTCTTTATTGTGATATTTAAAGGCTACAAATTTATTGTGACGTCATTCAAAGAGATTCAGCAAATAGATAAAATGTCAAAATTAAGAAACTAACCGACCAAACACTGGCTTCCTTTACATCTACCAAAAGCCTGCAGTGACAGTAATGTTGTAAAATAATGGTATACAAATTGTTATTACTTCTTTTGACCACTAGGGGCGCTGTATAACGTACATACACAAAATTGTCAAATATTTTACGCCTTTACTAAGGGCGTCTTCAAATTAGACGCTCATAGAAGCGCTGCAGTGTTGCCACTGTGGCGCTGCAGCCGTGCCGCCACTAATTTTCATACATTTATATTTTAGGTATTCGTCTCTCAATATTCGTCCCTTTAACATCTGATTAAAAAAACTGTCAATAATAACAGGTCGCGTAAAGGAAAGGATTCGGCAAAGGAGGCGCGAAACGCCACGGCAAAGTTCTTAGTGTAGAGATAACATCCAGGGCATAACAAAACCTGCAATTAGAATATTAGCAAGAAGAGGCGGTATCAAACGAATTTCTGGCTTAATTTATGAAGAAACGAGGGGCGTTTTGAAAGTATTTTTAGAAAATGTCATACGTGATGCAGTAACTTACACGGAGCATGTGAAAAGAAAAACCGTTACATCCATGGATGTAGTCTATGCACGA